AAAATCGATAAAACAGCACAAACTTAACTTTGAAGTAATCTTAAACAACCATCTTTTAATATGTTGCATATGTAGGGGTAATCTTGTTACACTGTTCAGGGGTGTCAACAACCATCCCAAAATACCGTTTTCTGAGAATTTATTGGTCTTTGTTTTCACCATGATGGTTGCCAGGCGGTGAAAATGCCTGACCAGAGAATAAATGTCGCTGCACACAGTGGAAGCTGTGCTGGCTTGGATGTCGAGGCAATACAGCGACGACATTCTTACATTATGCAACTGATATTCAGACCAAAGCTATTCAAACTGTACATAGTGCCCAGTCTAGAAATAGTAAATCCTTATGTTATTATGCTTTACCGGTCTTGCGACCATCGAGCGTGGTAATAGTGTTGTCACCACTGTTGAGTATTATAGAAGAGTAGGTGTTATACCTCAAAGCCCATGGTGTCACTGCAACATATATCGGCAGAAATGAAGACGAAGACATCAGAAATGCAAAGCTCCAAGCGCTAACAAAGCGTTCTATTGGTCGGTAAACTTTCTATTGCGCAACCACGTGACATACACGGTTATGAATAGAATTACCGCACGGTGTTGTAGTGGAAGGAATATCTGAACAGAACAACACCGTGAAGGCGGACAATGACAATTCAGTATCAATGTTTGCATCAGACCACAGCTCACTTATGTGCAACTTGAAGGTTCCAGAGATTTTATACAATCCATCGTCGAGGGCGCTGCTCAGCGAAATCGGGCGTGGTTTGGGCAATTTGGGTGTGTCGACACTTGACACATGCTTCTCGTTGAGGACGCTGCTCAGCCTGGATGTCTTTTCTCCCAATGTGTCCACAGGTTACCCATATACAGCGTTGAGGGCGCTGTTCGACAAATCTAAGTTCCTCTTGCTTACCGTCTCTTGTTTATTTTTTAGTGTATATTTTTTCTCCGTGCTTCCGAAGAAATCAGTAATGATTAGTTTATTGACTGTAGTTGTAGTGATTTTACATGTTGTCAATACTATTGTCTATATTGTTAGGAGATCAAGGCAATTATAAGTTGTAATAGTGGTCTGTAAACAAAACTCGCTTCAAAATTTCAAAAAATAATGAACCGATGCTCAATGGCTACTAATAATAATCACACATTATTCTAGATATATTAGGTTAATTTCCCAACATCAAATCTGGGCTAACCATACTCATAGCCACATAATTGGGTTTGACCTACTTCTTACTTTCCCTGTAGTTTTAACAGAAGTTCACACACACACACCAGCCATTGCACTAATTTACTGTCACTCTCACCAACTGGTAGTGAGTTCTCGAGTATCAGTAAACACAAGTACCAGCTGGTATACGTACACTGATATGCACATGCGCTATCTATCGTAAACTGAGACTCTGCAAGGGTTTGACTCGCATTGCATACTTTTAGTACTCAATTAGAACTTACTCTCAGTCGTATAGCTTGACAAGGTCGCGTGAGTTGCGCCCTCCGCGGTGCTCCAAACCATGTCCGATGCCGTTCGGACGGCGAGGGTGCCTGCATGCTATTATTCTTATTAAATCATGAATTCAATCGTCTACATAGACACCGCATATTAAAGTACAGACGCAGGTTCATGGGCACTTGCAGCCCGAACAAATATGAATGCATTTTGTTTGTATATACTAGATGGACCTGGCTTTGTACTGCTAAAATGTTTGCTGTCTTTGAACATACAAAACCAAAATGCTCAAATTACCACGATAATTGCGAACAAATCATTTTTTTTTCAAATGCATTGCTTAATTTGCAAATCTGTACATGAACAATGAAAAGTATAATTTGGCTGTGAAAAGTGATGTTAGACTATTTAAAACTTTCACAAAATAGTAAACGGTCTGTTCATAAGTTATCGTTTTATTGTAAATGTCAGTAAAATTTGCACTGAACGAATGATTAACATTTTCCCAACTTGAGTTCTGTAGT